TGTGCCCTCAGCTCTCCCAGTGCTCCCAGTAGAGCCCAGTCACCTTGTCGATGACGCCGCCGGGGTTGATGAGGACGCTCCTGGCCAAGGTGTTGATGTGCAACGTGAAATGGAAATGGGGGATGAGGAGCTGCTGGTGGAAACCAAGAGCTTGGAGATGACCAAGAACCTCCCAAGAGAGAAGCTCCCAAGAAAGAACCACCCAAGAGCCTCCCAAGAACCACCCAAGAACCTCCCATGAAGCTCCCAAGAGCCTCCCAAGAACCTCCCATGAAGCTCCCAAGAGCTTCCCAAGAGCTTCCCAAGAAGGAACCTCCTGAGAAGCTCCCAAGAAGCTTCCAAGAAGGTCCCAAGAAGGTCCCAGGGTGGTGGGGTGGGGTCAGATGAGTGGGGGGGGGGGGACAATGGGTGGTCCTGAAGGTGTGGGGGGGGTGGGACAATGGGTGGTCCTGAAGGTGGGACCTCACCTTGAAGAGTGGGTGACAGGAGGGCAGTTGGCGGAGGGTGGCGATGGCAAAGACCTCCGCGAAGAGGTGGGTCCTCAAGAGGTGGGTGAGGAGTTGGTGGCTGTAGAAGTCGGCGTTGCGCACCCAAGTCTTGGCCAAGAGCCAATCCCACTCGGAGTCACTCGGTAAGAAGATGGGGCTGGTGGGTCCTGGTCTTTGGCTGAGCTTGTAGGACACAACCACGTGGTGGAAACATCTCCATCATCATCATCATCATCATCATCATCATTCATCTCCATCATCATCATCATCATCATCATCATCATCATCATCATCATCATCATCATCATCATGGAGATGGTCATGACCATGAGGGAGTGGACAACTCCCAACTGGGTTGGGGTGGAGATGGTCCTTACCTGGATGGCGATGGGACGGAGAAGACCATCAACACCCTGGTGAAGGAGACAGATCGGGGCGGCCACGTACTGCTGATGTCCATGGATGGTCCCAGCTGGGATGTCCTCCAGAACTTCATAATCCACGATGAAGATCCGACCTTCTTCCATCTCCTTCTCCAAGTTGGTGTCACCACCCAAGGAGTTGGCCACCATCTCCGGCGTCACCGGGAACTTGGCCGGCAGCGCCGTGCATTGCCGGATGACGATGGGGTTGTTGCCGTTGAGGAACTGGTACCCGAAGAAGTCATCTTCTCGCCAGTGCCTGGCCACGTACTCGGGGACTGAGGAGATGGTTGGACATCAACACCCACCTACCCAACCCTCCTTGACCTCAAGTCATGGACTTCTTAGGAGGACACGGAAGGAACCCACCGATCTCCCTGCCCCGCGTCCGCGAGAAGATGCTGCGCATCTCATCCAGGCTTCTCCAGGAGGTGGGTCTCGCCAGGAACCCTGAGAGAAGGTGGGTGGCTCCTCTGTGGGACAGAGGTGGACATCAAGCACCTACCAACCCTTCCATGATCTCCTGGGATAGGGTGGCACTGCTCACACTCCTTCAATCCCATCATCCAGGTTCTCCTTGGCCATGAGGTGTCACTTACTGGAAGAGGAGGAGACCGGTGAAGTTGGTGGCCCTCACGCAGGAGAACTGAACGTTGGAGTCCAGCTCGAAGATGGAATCCACCTTGAGGCACCTGGGCCAACCTTCAGCGAAGTTCTTCCACCTGTGAGGGGTGGGATGTGAGGAGACACATCAGCGTCACCACTGGCCAAGCCACCAGAGCCGTGGTGGGTCCCCATCCCTACGTCTTACTGGTAAGCCTCCTGCCGCGCCGTCAGCTCCTTGCGCCGATGCTCCCTGAGGATCTCCAGCTCATCGTCCACCAGCTTCTTCCCTGGAAAGGAGAAGAGAAATAGGTCAAGGTTGGAGCTGTTGGTCAACAGAAGAAGATGGAGATGGGACAAGGTCCTACCTGAGCCTTCTCGGACCTCCACGGTGATGACCCCCTCCAGCCACAGGTAGCAGGGGAAGCGGTAGAGGGTTCCATCAGGAGCCGTCACCTGGACGTCCTTGCAGAACCAGGCGTCCTCCAGGAAGAGCCGCCACTTGTGCAGGCGGATGAGGACGATGGGACCCAGGTCCCGGGCGCAGCGCACGGTCAGGTGCTTCTCCTGGTGGGTCAGAGTGTCCTCCACCCAAAGATCTTCATCCCACCACCATCCCCCCCAGATCTTCTTCCCACCATC